ACTATACTTGTGGCCTCTTGAGAAATTCCCTATGACTTACTGATTAAGGAAGAAAAAATTCAAGTCTAGGACACATATATTTCCACACATTGTGCTGGCATCATCTAAAGTGGGCTCTGTAGCATTACAGCCCCAGTCAGAAGTGGACATGAGGGAGGTGGTGAAGGGGAATCCTTCCAGTATCAGAATACTGAGCAGTTCATCTGGTTGTCTGCTTTACCTGGAAAGAACATGGTGAGAAGTACAAGTCTATCCTGACTCATTAATAGTAACTGATGGCTTGGCTGTTTCACCACTTCTCAACTGGGATTCCTAGAGAGAATTAGCCATAATGCCTAAAGGCATCCATTTGATGTAATAAATTAACTTATCTTGTATGCATCTAAGTATGTTCCATCTTGGAAGAATTGAGAAAATAGTCATTCAGGTAATTTTCTGTATGGTTTACTTCTCTCATAAAACCCAGAATGAGAAAGGCTGGGGTGGATGACTGGGGACTTGGAAGGAATAAGAATAAGGGGGTATTTGTGTCTATGTGAATACTCCAAAGTGCCCCCACCAAAAAGGATGCTCTCAATAAGCAGGTGGGTGAGATGACTCATTCTATAGATACCAGTCTACCTCTTTCCCTGCCTATGCCAGTGCTTACACAATGGGCTCGTGAACAAAGTAACCATGGTATCAGGGATGAAGGATGGATTCAACATGGACTTCTGATCTGGTTAGTGCTCAGCCTGTCAGCAGCAGAGGCCAGTGTTGATCCCCCAATATGGAACACTCCCTGGGAGGATCAGCCAGTTTCATTATATTAGACCCTTTCCATCATGAAGGGGGCGCAATTTGTTCTCACTAGATAAAGTGATTGCTTATTCTATGGATTTGCCTTTTTTTGTCTGTGATAGTTAATTTCATGTGTCAACTTGACTGGGCTAAGGGATGCCCAGATAGCTGGCAAAACATTATTTCTGGGTGTGTCTGTGAGAGTGTCTCCAGTAGAAATAAGATCACCCTCACCAATGCAAATGGACATCATCCAATCCTTTGAAGGCCTGAATAGAAGAAAAAGGCAAAGAAGGCGAAGTTTACTCTCTTTGCTTGAGCTGGGACGTCTGTCATCTCCTGCCTTTTATAGCTGTTGGTTTTTCCCCTAACTAGGGTCCAACGATGATCGCACGTTACATTTAGTTGTCATGGCTATTTAGTGTCCTTCATTCTGGAACAGCCCATTCCTTTTTTAAAACTTCCATGACATTTTTTAAGAGTTCAGGCCAGGTCTTTTTTTTTTTTTGCAGTGAGGGAATGTTTATTTGTTGTTTTTGTTTTTGCAGAGTGTCCCTCAATTTGGGTTTGGATTAGATTCAGTCTTAACATTTTCGGGAAAAATACTACACAAGGAATGAGTGCCTTCTCATCAGGCAGCCTGCGATGCCAATTTGTTCCCTTAAGTTGAGTCACTCACTTACGGACCTTTCTCCATCATAAAGGTACAATTTTTAATGAATAAGTAATCTGAAGGATCATGATACTTTTAGACAATATTTCATCCAATCATTTTAGCATCTACTAATGATTCTGTTCAGAATTCATCATTACTGTGGTGTTTGTAAAATGCTGATTTTGGTTTCTAATATTCCTTTTATATGTATTAGTTGCCATTCTTCTGAAAAGCAGTACTTTCCCTTCCCATTCCCACTTCATTCCTTTTTCTCTCTTCCTCCCTCCCTCTTCCCTTCCTTCCTCCCTCTCTCTTTCTTTCCATCTTCTTCCCTTCCTTCCTCCCTTCCGACAGTACTGACTCATGGAATCTTTTCCAAATCAGTATGCTATGATCACTCCTGTAATTGATCACACTGATGTTCATATGGTCCTTCTGTAGCTAGTGAAATCCTCTAAGCTGACTCCTGTATTTTTTAAAATGTCCCCTTCAATTTATTGAGCTTTTCTTACTTTCTGTCACATTAAGATGTTTCATACTCACCTTAAGTGTTTTGCTGCCTTCGCCCCCTGGAATCAGTCCTTTCTTTAAGGCTCTATTTTCTTTGTTGTGGTGGTGTGTTTGTTTTAATGGGAAATGGTTTTGAGAAACTAAAATGCAGATATTGGTGTGCTCTTTGCTACAGGAGTGTCATTGCTTCTTGGCTGTCTCAGTGGATAAAGCTAAGAAATACATATCTTAAAAATGTCTCAAAAAACACTACATGTCAGGGTTTGATTTATTGTTTTGTTCAGTGTGATAGAAAAGAAAGGTTAACAATGCAACTGAACTTAAAAATGTATCATGTCTGTAGCCCTTACATTGTAAGTAGTCCCCAAAAGTGAGGAAAATTTCTTTCAGTATTTGAAAACTATTACTTGATTCAGCAAAGAAGTTGTTTACAGCACTGACTAGCAAGTGACATTCCCACACACATCTTTATTGTTTAAATTTCCTCTTACTCCTCACGTAAATGAAAATATCCACCAACATTTATGCCAGAATTATACTTGCTCATTAATTGTAACCCTAGGTTGGCTTTGGATACAAGCATTTGGCAAAAATCAACTAATGCATTATTTGAAAATTAATTGTATACAGAGTTTATTAAAACAAAGATCATTATATATTTTATTATCATTTGTAAATTATGTGCTACACATCCTTTGTATCAGTAAAATTTATAATAAACTCATGGACATTTATATACACACATACTTTCTGGGGGAGAGCTGGTGGTTAAACTTTCACCAGCACATCACTGATCAAACGGCTAGCCCCAGATTAGCTGCAGACCACTGACATAGTTTGACCCACACAGTGCTATTTAAAGCAATGAATAAAAAAGTGAGAGAGTGTGCTGACATTTACAAATTACCTGGAATTCCTTCTTCTCCTAAAGGATCAGATCTGGCCCCACTGTGTTCTCCCCTTGCAACACTCAGCTGGCCTGAGCTGCTGTGGCCCCTTCAGGGGGGATGTACACTCTCAGTTTGCCACCATCCCCACCACTCCCTGCTGTCCTCCCAACCCTGTGGCTGAGCACCACATGCCATTTTCCGCCATGTATAGGCTGTAGATTTTCTCTGCTCCTTGTTTATCCTCTGCCACCACAACCTGAAATGCATTTCAGCCCAGAAATCTGGCAACCTCACGTTTGATTTATAACTTAATTAGCTTTCTTCTTCTATTGATTTAAATCCCAGTGACCCACAATTATTTCTTAGAAGAAGCACTTAAAACATGTGATAGGGCTTTGAAACTCTGAAAAGCCATCAAATGGAAGATACGCACTTTAAGATGCTCATAATTTCTAAAGTCATTTAATTTTATACTCTATTAATAAAAATCCATTAAAATTCAATTTGTTACATTTTAAGTAACTAATGGCAGTATATTTATTATTAATCTTTTCACGTATATCCTTCTTACTATTTTTTTCTCTCCGTCTTTTTTTTCCTTCTTTGTCTTTTTCTATTACTTTAATCTTACCTCTCAAATACAATGTCAGTAATGAGGTCACTATATTTTTCTATTAAAATTCATACTTTGGTCTTAGTTTTGGCCTAATTTAAACACTGACATTATAGACTCATGCTAATTAGCCTGAATGACCAAATCCCCCACCAATTAAGCAAATGTAGACATTTCAGGTTGTTTCAGTTACCCTATGTTAAGAATTAAAAGAAAAATGTGATAAATGTGATTTGGAGTCATCAATCCCAAGACATCCTGTTATTTCATAATAAAACTATTTCTTATCATTATGGTATCATAAATTCAATAATGTTTCAACTTCTTTGCACTCTGAATTTAGACATTTATACCACAACTACCACAGATTCTTTACATTCCACTTTGATGGTGAGCTGTGTCTCTGTGAGGGAAAATTTTCTTTGTACCGTGATGAGCCAGTTTATTTGAAAAAAAAGTTGGCTTGGTTCCTTGTATCAACACACATAAAATTATTTTGTTAACTTGGTTGTACAAAGTGTCTTAACTTTTCAGTCTTAAACTTCCATGTGGACTGAGCCCTAAAAGCTCTCTTGTTAATTATCTATTAGTAATAGAAAAAAAAAGTTGCTTCTGTGTAGCACAAGGAAATATGTTCAATATCTTGTAATAACCTTTAAAGAAAAAGAATATGAAAATGAATATATGTATGTATATGCATGACTGGGACATTGTGCTGTACACCAGGAATTGACACATTGTAACTGACAGTACTTCAGTTAAAAAAAAAGTATCTATTAGTAATCGGAGCATATTTACTCACGGGAATAACGCTATCAGTGGCTACTGTATTTGCAGACTAGCCCTTAATGTAGCTCTAATGGTATTAATCTAAGTTCTGAGTTCTAGAGCAGGAGAAGGAGAGAATGAGAATGATGAGAGGAGGAATAGGGAGGTGGTACAGCAGGGCCAATGACGGAAGGAGGCCAGGAAAGAGAAGCAAACTGAGAGGAGGACCACAAGAGGAAAACTTCCTCTGGGTTTAAGCAAAACACCCTATGCAATTGGGTTTTGTGGCTTTCAATTTTCATTTCTGTTTCCCCCTCCTCAGGACCCCAGTGCCCTCATGTGGTCCTAAGCTCCGCCCTATCCAGGCCTGTTCTTCCTCCAAGCTTCAAACCACCCCCACCAAACACACACAAGACTCCCTCGCTCAGTGAGAATGTTCTTAGCAAGATGATCGGAAAATACCAGTCTGAGAGAACCTAATCATTTTGTGGGGCTCACAGTCCTAAAAACCTCTGAAATCAATCATTCTCTACTTAGGGGAATTCCAGCCCATGTGACAAAATGGAGCAAAAAAAAAAATCTGATGCAGTGTTTCACAGGAAGATAACTTTCTTGAGGGTCATCCCCTATGCTGGGCACCTCCAAGCAGTCCCTGGTGGGCTTTGCTCTCTCCATTTCTGATCTAACATTTCTCTACCCATCCCTAGCAGCAAGGGCCTACCCTCTAGCTGGCCCTCGAGACATGTTTCCGGACTGAATCAAGTAGGTTTTTTGGTTCTTTTTATTTTGTCTTTCAGAACAGCAACCATGGTTGAGCATGGATGGGGCAGAGGGGGCTGTGTGTGAATGGGGGCTGGGGGAGAAGTGAAGTTGCTCAGAGGAATACCCATGACCTTGTTCACAGATTCCTTATTGAAATGATCCATGGTGTGCCTGAGTTCCCGGGGGTCGGACACAGCTACGATGTTAGTAAATGAATGTGACAATATAGCTTTTGTTGCTTAGAATTGGGAAGGTTTTAAAGTAGGAAAAGTAGGGGAAGTTGTTGGCCATGCTGGCAAAGTTTTCAATACTATATGATTTTAAGGATGAGTCCCTGTTGAAAAGTGCCATATCTAAGAAGGAAATATACATACAGTTTTGCCAGCCTTCATGTGGCAACATGGGCTTCTCCCTGGATTCACTCTCCCCACCATCGTGGATGAGTAAACTCTGCTCTGGGGAGGGACGCTTGGCCTCCGTGTTGATGCGAAGCCTCTTCAGACCGCAAATGGCCAGGTACTCAGTGGGGAGAGTGGTCGCACTGCACAGAGAAAGCTTCAGGTCCCGGACCTGCGTGAAGTTCAACAGGAGGCCCAGTGCAGTTGTGTCTGTGAACCAGATGGTCAGATGATCATCATAGCTAGTTTGCTCAACCGCAAAAGGTAACACGGTTTTACAGCTGCACATCAGGTTGGCCAAACTGTAGTCACAGTCCCGGATGTCCGCAGAGCAGCTGCAGTTCCGGATGGTGTTTTCCTTCGTGAAAATTAGTGTGCTGTTCCTCTGAGCTCTTGGGAAGCATTCGAGTGCAAAGATGCCGAGTGCCCCGATCAGAAGGAGGCTGCGCCCGGAAGGCAGTGCCATTATTGTCTCAGTGTGGGCCGGCGAGCTTGTGTTTCCCCTTCATGAGCCAGTTCATTGGAACTCTCCTGCAAGCAAAAATGCAGCTTTGTTATCACAGCCTCTCATTAGAAATGTGCAGCTTGTGGAAAGGGAGCCCCCCAAGTAACCCGTCATAAGCTTTTCTCTCTTGCGGTTCTAGCAAAGGCAGGCAAGGCTGGGAGCCCAAGTGCAGGCAGTGCTCTTTTCTCAGAGTCTCCTGAGAGGCAGCAGCCTGCTCCCTGGTCTCTGCTCACCTGAGCTATGAGACTCCCCGCGATGTCTGCTGGTAGGAAGGCTAACACACCAACAAGCAAGCAAGAGCAGATGCCAGAGACGAGACCTACCGCATCCTGTCTGTGGGCAGGGATTCAGAGTGATTTGAATGTGTACCTCCTCCCTCCAAACATCCCGTTACCAGTGCTGAGTACCTGTCTACCCCCTAAACATGCACGTTCCCTCCTCCTCCTTGATATCTGACTTCCTGGAATTCAGCAGACAAACAGTTCCTTGTTGGATTCAGTTACCCACGTGCTACCTGTTAATTCAGCATGAATACCAGTGAAACATTTAGTTAATGGTAAACTTCAGTTTCTAACTAGACAAACATACTCCCCTCAATCATATTAATCCAGTCATACTTTTCCTGGTCTCCTAGACCAGTATTAGAGTTGATTTTAACTGTGTTACTGGACAGTGAGAAGACTAATCACACACCAGTTAGTCACAATGATTTTGATTTATCTACTCCTTTCCCAGAACAACTTTTATGAACTGGTTTTAATCAAAGAACATACTGTAGTAAGCAATATATAAGCACTGTTAAATAATCTAAATAAGGTAGGAATGCATGTATGATTTAAAAAGCAACACCAATGTCCATTTCAGGGGGAAATTGCCCTACAATGCCTGGCATATAATAGATGTGCAGTCTTCTTTTATGGAGTGTTGGAATAAGGCACATATTATGAAATAAGGCACCAGATTTCAGCTTTGCAAAAATAATTGAATTTCCCCTGAGTTAGCTGATGACTGAAGAGACCAAACAATACAGTTCAGTGCATCTATATGTCTAGTAGTGGGCAAGACAAGATACTTGGAATGAGGTGTCCAACTAGGACAGTCCAGAGCTAGTGATGGGGCCCCGGCAGGAAGAGTGGTAGGGAGGGATTGATAGAAAGTGGAAAGGTCAGTCCAAGGAATTAAACACGTGTCCAAAGAAGACGGTGACAGCAGGAAAGGGGCTAGGCAGACTTGTAGCACTTGGAGAGCAAGATGAGGCTACAAGGTGGCAAAGCAAGGTGACGTGAAATCCAAGGCGGGCAGAGGGGTAGGTATAGCTCAGTGGTAGAGTGTGTGCTCAGCATGCACGAGGTCCTGGGTTCAATCCCCAGTACCTCCATTAAAATAAGTAAATAAATAAACCTAATTACCCCCTTCAAAACAAACAAAATAAATAAATAAAATATTAAAAAAAAAAGAAGAAATCCAAGGCAAGCAGGGCTGAAAATGCTGGGGTCAGGCAGACAGGCAGGCAAGCCTGAGTTCATCAGCTGATGGCTGGAGCACAGGGAGATTAAAACCCAGCTCTGCCAAGTAAACTTGAACAGAAGGTGAGACATTGGTTCAGGGTAATCATAGTGTCATTCATTCGTTCATTCATTCAACAAACGCTCATTGGGAGTTTACTGGGAGGCAGACACTTTGCTGGCCCTGGGGATATAGCCTAGAATAAGACCATGAGCTTAAGGAGCTTCTGCTCCTAGGGACTTGATTCTGCTTCCAGAGTCCAAGGCAGGCCAGGCCTGCGTGTGAGGATCAAGGGGGTGCAACAGTAGGGAGGGAGAGGGAGGCAAAGACAGGAGTCAGATAGCACTTGGCATGTGCTGTATGCCAAGGCCAAGTGGAAGAAACAGAAATGAACAAAGCCTGGACCCTGCCCTCCAAGGACTCTTATGCAAAGAGGAAGACAAATAAAGCTGGACTGAGAAAGTCTCTCCTGAAAGTACACCCAGATACAGGATCACAGCAGAGAGATAGGTGAAGTCCATTCAGGGGACCAGATAAGGTGTTTTATAGTGTGTTGTGTTTATTTTGAAGTTGGCACAGGGTTCTCTTAAAGGATTTATTCATTGGCTCCTTTTGTGACAAAAAAGGGCTTTGAGAAACACGTAGAGCCAGAGTTCTCCCTGAACGAGAGGCTTGTTTGACATTGTGCTAGAATGTGGTGGTGACTACCCAACTTGGTGAGGAACAGTGCTTAATTTATTAATTACAAGATAATTTTAGATGATCAGCTGTCCCAGATTCCATTGGAGGTTTCTAGGACTTCCTGTCCTGGTAACCCCATCATCCCAGAACTAGGAATACTGTCGTTGGCCTGCTCTGATCCCAGCCTTAGAGGGAAAGGAAGGGACAGGCATCTATACATCAGCTGGAACCTGGTGACAGACGTGTCTCCCTCATTCTTTAGGTGCTGATGCTGTTCAGAGGCATGCATGGAAGAAGAAAAGGGGTAAGAAGGAAAAAGGACATGGATTTCCAGGAATGAGTGCAGCTGGATTTCCTGGAATGAGAGGGATTTGTGAGCAACTTCCCAGATGTCCAGCTGCCAGCTGGACCTCAGAGGGACCCCTGCCTTCTGGACATCAGGGAGCTCGAAGGCCAGAACAGGGAGGCCAGATGTGTGAAGCCTCATGAAGGGGTACAGGGTGGGACAAGTATCCCCGGTAAACAGTTTATGCGGTTCCCATGGAGATGCTAGTTGGACATTTTTTCCTTCAGTTTCACCTTGGATTTCTTTCTTGAGGTTTGTTGAACATGGATTGTGAACACCCTCATTGCACTACGTATCCATTCATTTGTGGGCACGTTCCAGCACAGCATAAGCAGAACGGGTGCAGATCCCTCACCTTGTCCCTGACACTTGATCTGCCCTTGCCTGTGGTAGTGGGGGCACTACTCGGAAAGAGACTTTTTTCTCTGGGGGTTTCTCAGCTTGTAGAAGGGAAATATGAATCTATTGGTGACTGCCTTGTATGAGCTTATCTGAGAATGAAGCCAGTACAGAGGAAAACAAAGACAAGAAATGGAGAGATACTCCTAACACTCTTTTTTTTTTGAGCACCCAGATCAAGCCATACCTGACAATCTTCCTTGATTTTTTAAAGTATATGAGCCAAGTTTTTTTTTTTTCCTACTTAAGCCAATCTGAATTGGGATTTCTGTAACAAGCAGTTAACAGAGTCTTGGTACCCTGACATTTGGTAAACTGTGCCTTTTTCATTCATCCAATAAACATTTGTTGAGCGCTTGCTTTGTGCTAGACTCTGTGCTAGAAACAGAGAAAATAAAGCCAATCAGAGCTCCATCGAGGAGTTATACCCCAGTCAAAGAGACATTGGAACCAATAATCACAGTGTAATGTGATAATAATTATAATCACAACTTGCATGAGATGTTAAGTCTGCACCTAGGACTGCCTGGCAGTGGCAAAGTTCATAGAGGAACTAATATCTGATTAGAGAAATATTTTCTTCAGTGGGAAAAATAAAAGGAAAATATTGATGTAATTAGTATAGAGTAAGCAGCATTTGAAATATCCAAAAGTAGGACTGAGAGATTGACAGGCTATGGGGATGGCAGAGGTGGCAGTGGGAAGTTGGGAATCCAGGGGTCCTGTCGGGCTGGAATCCTCTGATTGGAAAATGACACATCATTTTCTCAGCATCCCGGCTTTTTGTGAGCTCCATCATTGAGATTTGCCTACTGTTTCCTAATATGCTTCACATCCCCAGGGGCAGGGGCATAGTGAGGGGTAGGGGGAGTGAGATGGCTTTGTTCCTACTCTACTTATGCCGTGCTGGAATCTGCCCACAAATGAATAAATGTGCCATGAAAGAACGGCCAAGGTTAATTCCTCCCTTACATCACGGTGTGATGCCGTTGGTGGGTGGGGGAGGGTATGCTCTGCTCCACACAATCATTCAGGGATTCAAGCTTTATTATTTTTTTTTAATACCAACTTCTAAGGCCCTCAGGTCCTCCACAGTATTTTCTACATGCATTTCATGGGCCAGAACTCAGCCAAGTGGCACCACCTCATTACAGGCAGCTTGGAAATAAAGTCCAGCAACTGTGCCAGGAGAGGAGAGGAGAACATGGGTACCGGTGGGCACTAGATGTGCCTGACATAATAAGGTTGTGAGATACAATGAATGACTTTCTGCAACCGTGACCAAAGCTCAGGGGTTGTCAGTCCACCTAAACTTTTCAGGCAAGATGCTGAAAGCCAGGTATGATCATTAAATCTTTGACCACTAAGTCACTGAGCTTGTTTAGAAACCAGAGCTCCTATTCAGACTCAGTTCAAATATAATTTTTATATTGCAGTTGGAGAAATTTTGATAGCAAGTAATACTAGCACGAAAGCGAAGATTCCTGAATTGAGCAGATACAGACATCAGTGACTTCAAAACAAATTCCACACAGATTCCTTCTCAATCTAGGATTACACTCAAAATTTAGATAATGTTTATACTTGGCTCCAAAAGGAATGTTTCAAACTAAACTAGTTCTGTTTATAAGAAGATATTACTGGTAAGGAGATATTGTGTCAGTGGGAGGATAGCGTTTGGACCATTTGCCCAAAACAGTTTTGAAATATCATGAATAATGATGTTTTCAACTCTATAGTCTTAACACAAAAGACAAGAAATACGATTGTGGGAAAATAGAGGGCCACTCTCCAAATCCTTACAACAATTAAAAATCAAGAGTGATTTCGAATTTTAATTCAGAAGTAAGTTTAATTTGAAATTAGAAAGGATTTTTTTTTAAGTGGAAAGTCAATAAAGGAAAAGACTCAATTGAAGAAATTAGAGAAATAAGAGGACCCGAAACTGATGAAATGCTCCAGCAAGAAGCAGACGGTCTGCAGTGTAATTCTGAGCTGCTGCCTGGGGAGGAAAGGCAGAGGAAAGTCGGTGTCTGGCATCCCAAGAAACCCACTTTGAAGCCAAGACTGGGGGAGCTCGGCAAGGGAGTGTCT